TTCTGGCTAACGTAATTGGTTAACGTTCTAATCTGTTGTTACACAAAATGTAGCCTAACACTATGCAGCAAAATGCGCTCAACCGGTATTACAACTTAGCAACACTTGCAGCAATGAACATATATGGATCCATATCAAATGGGGCCTAACATCAGAGATGAATTTGTATGTACTTATGAACTGTATGTACTTTCATGTCCAAGAATTGGTTAACGTTTCTGGCTAACGTAATTGGTTAACGTTCTAATCTAAAGTAACTTCTTATATTTCTAAAACATTTTTTTATGAAACTTATATTTCATACAAATATTTGTTAGGCTTATTATGGGTTAAACCAATCAAATCTCTAATTTAATTCGAGTGTTTATGATAGAGCGTAAATGGAGTTATGAAACTTGTAGCATTAATAAAATCGTACCATTTTAGATTGTAGCATATCTTTCCTATTTCCAATTTTGCCAGCTGTATACTTCATAACTTGTAATACAATGAGGCAAGCTTTGAGAAATTGAAGACTGTTCTGAGCAAACGGATTCACTAAATTATTATTAAATAAAATACTTAGCCATGAGAAATACCACTAAATATCAATAGATATATTTTAATAAACACATTAGCTATGTAAATGAATTTAGAGTTTTCGATTTTACCATACCATACCCGCTGCCAAAAATGACTGCTCTGAGTTCTCAATGTGGTTTATTTAAAAAATATTGTAAAAAACCTTGATCAGCATCGATGGTTTATATGTAGATTTTGACTCTATTCAGATACACGTACAGTGTGTAAATTAAGTCTGGCACACATTTTTTATCTTTTTTTCTATAGTAGATAGAAGAAATCAATTTGCGGGACTGATTAATAACAAATGTTAGGCACTTTTTACAAATTTTGAAAATAAAAATTCCCTTAAGGGCAAGGGGGTGGGGGATAACTAAACATTTTCAAATGACTTCCCCCATCTTGTGACCCCTCATTTTAAAGGTCATTGGAAGACAAATCCAAAGATGTGTCTGAAAAAAATTTTTTTGCACCCTATCCAAGATGGCGGTTTAAAATGTACTTAGGGTTGAACGGGTAAATTAGGTATGGCACACATTTCTTATCTTTTTTACTCTTTGTAGATAGAAAGAATTAATTCACAGGACTGAGTAAGAACAAATGTTTGGCACTTTTTTCATAATTTTGAAAAAAATCCCCTTAAGGGTAAGGTGGGGGTGGGGGGTAACTAAAAATTTTCAAGTGACAACCCCCATCTTGTGACCCCTCATTTTAAAGGGATTCGGAAGACAAATTGAATGATGTGTCTGAAAATGTTTTTTGCATCCTGTCTAATATGGCGGCTTAAAATGTACTTAGGGTGGAACGGGTGAATTAAGTCTGAAACACATTAAAATTTTTTCAGACACATCATAAAATTTGTCTTCCAAATACCTTTAAAATGAGGGGTCACAAGATGGGGGTTGTCATTTGAACATTTTTAGTTACCCCCCACCCCCACCTTACCCTTAAGGGGAATTTATTTCAAAATTATGCCAAAAAGTGCCAAACATTTGTTCTTACTCAGTCCCGCAAATTAATTCCTTCTAATCTACAAAGAGTAAAAAAGATAAGAAATGTGTGCCATACCTAATTTACCCATTCAACCCTAAGTACATTTTAAATCGCCATCTTGGATAGGGCGCAAAAAAATTTTTCAGACACATCTTTGGATTTGTCTTCCAATGACCTTTAAAATGAGGGGTCACAAGATGGGGGTTGTCATTTGAAAATTTTTAGTTACCCCCCACCCCCCCTTGCCCTTAAGGGAATTTTTATTTTCAAAATTTGTAAAAACTGCCTTACATTTGTTATTAATCAGTCCCGCAAATTGATTTCTTCTATCTACTATAGAAAAAAAGATAAAAAATGTGTGCCAGACTTAATTTACACACTGTATCACTGTATCACTGAATCTTTGAATCTCGAATGCTAGTAACTTATGTAAATCTGGTTAAATAAATGAATTATGACTTTAGAGTAAAAAAAATAAATAGTTTAGTTTATTGAAGTGTTGTTGCATGTCTACCGGTTAAGGATATATAAGAAATTCCCAAGTTATTCTTAAGGATAATAACAAAACTGTTTTAGTTTTAATTGTTCTCGGATTTTACTTCAATCAAATTTGGTAATCTTTGTTTACTAGTTGCTCTGCCCGTGCTTCGCTACGGGGTGAGAATGAAGAAAAGAATACTTTGGTTTTACTATAAGATAGAATTATATAGGTACTATAAGAAACAGTTAGAACACACTTACCAGGAAACATATAGGCAAAGGCTCAATCGTGCTTATTTAATTATTTAAATTAAGATCTCTTAATTTATTACAATCACTTTATATAGTGTATTGCATTAAAAATATATGCAAAATAATAATTCATTGAACACATGGCACCAAGAAACAAATCTCCTTGTAAACAAATTAAATTAAATAGCAGAACAGCATTTCTGACAACAGCTGGAGTTTCATAACAATATTTGTTTCCCATGTTAATCTTATGGAGAAATACACAACTTTAAAGAGCCCCAGGGCCTCACTCTCTAATTATTTCCCTATAAAGAAAGTTTCCTGCACAACTTCACGTTACGCTCTTTCCAATGACACCAAGAACATGTAAATCGGTTCAGTAGTTTCGGAGGAGTAATTGTCACAAAAAACCTGCTTGCGTATTAAATAAGTATAGATTTCATACTGCTTAATAGCCAACAACCTTTCAAAACAAAAACGCACCGAAATTACCTTCCCCGTAGCAGCAAACCCGAGTAGGTACTCATTGAAATGAACGTTATTTAACGAGGAAATAATCTGACATTTTTCAGAAAATACGAGCTGCTATAGTAACCGAGCTTCGCAACGGGAAGAGAACGTGGTTAAATCGGATGTATAGTTTACAAATCTAGGCCTGTTATGGATCTAAGAATAAACACTTAATTTTAACACCTAACTTTGTGTGTAATAAAATTCTACACAGAAACAGGTACTTTTCCATCCTGTGGATGGAAAAGTTACCCTTTGCCATGCCTACACACGGAAAAGTTACGTAATGTACTTTTCCCGTGTAGTTAGTCAGCTGTTGGTGTTGAAATAAACAGCTAATTTTAGCGGCCTATTTTATTTTTTGAAATATAATATATGTTCTGTCCTAAATAAATTGTGTTATGAATGAGTTAAATATGTACTGATTTTTCTGTGTAGTATGATGTAAAGTATCGTGTTACTCACCTGGTACTATAGCTACCGTACTCGCACGAAAATCCCGCACTCGGCTACGCCTTCGGTGAAACACCTTACCGGGCTAGAATACTCTAGTAACCAAATACAGTAATTTTAGGCATATACTATTTCTTTATACCAACTGCATTTAGACAAGGTGTTTACGTTTCCTAAGCAGCCATTACAGTTTACAAGTAGTGGTTTGTGTGTTTGAAAATACTGTTACAACTCTATGATTTATTTTAAATACCCCCTCCCTCCGCAGCAAACCTGCAGACTAAACGAATTTTCATTTGCTTGATTGGATTTATATCATCTCCTTAAAAATATCACAAAATTATTCCCTAATTTAAATATAGCATTAGTTTAACAAGTACTTAGGTCTGTTGCAACAGGTAGGGTTTAAAAGGGGGTTAAAAAATGTTATTACATGTAGTAGTTTAGTATGAAATAAATGCATTTTCAAAATTTGATCAAAATATGTTCATAAACAAGCTAACTACAACAGTTTACATATTCTCCATAAGAATAAACATAGGGATTTTAAACTGTTCGAGTTTTCTCCGTAACCAGTAAGCGCATAATAATGCTTCAATATACTAAATAATTTGTTTTTTAACTCTACAAAATAGTTTGGAAAGAAATTTGCAAAATGTTATGTTGTCATTACTTTTTATGGATCGCCATATTGGCAATGGAAAGGTTAACAAAAGAATCAATGCATCTGCAGTTTGTTTAGATAAATTAACGCAGTTTTTACATTTCCTCATTTCCGGTGTAAGTTGCTGATACAAATGTACTACAACTCATTTAATATTTCAAAGTGTAACAATGAACAACGTAAAATCGTTATTTGGGTTAATCTGTTTGTAACACTAAGCTAGCAAGTTAAATGAAAACTATGTATATCGTTATAAATTTCAAATTAATTTCTGATTGAAAAAACGTTGGATGGATACCACAACTAACTATCCTCAAGCAACGTTTGGCCTATATAGCAAGTTTTAACTACTTTCTTGCACGAAAAAAACAGTATAATAAGTGTGAAAAATGACAAATTATTGTAAAGCCTTCAAACGGCAGAACACAATTGATATACACAAAATAGTTGAGATAGCATTGACAAATTTGAAGGAGACTGCGGCTGCAGGCGCCGTGGATAGAAGTCGTTCGGAGTTTAAAAAAGAACGACTCTTATTCTGGACTCAACCGAGCTGTTCAGCAAGAGCTGTTCACCTTCAATTTGAATCTCCCGCTCTTTGTCGATCTGTTTTGCTGTCGACATTTTGCGTGTCGATAAAGTGGGAAAATTTACACAACCGTCCCACATAACAGACATCCCACATAACCGACATCCCACTTTACAGACATCCCATATTACCGACACTGTCGAAATTTTGAGTTGTCGACATTATGGGACTATTTCAGTGTCGATCTTTTGAGATGTCGATAAACTGGGACCCCACGGCCTGAGGTAGGGCTGGTCGCCCCCTTCCCCCCCCCCTTCTGGATCCAACAGTCCAACACTGCGGCCCGTCTAAACTGCTCACGGGCGGGAGGTCCACGTTTAAGCTTATGTGTCACGAGCTTACTGCAGTACACAGTGACAGTACTCTATTGATCTGTCTATAATCTGCAATATAATATATCTGCAGTAGGCAATCTCTCTCTCTCTCCTCTCTACTGGTAACACTGCTTCCTACAAGTCTCCCAACATTTTTATTCATGATCTTGTCTTCTTTAACTTCTTTTCCCTCGAGCACAGCACAGCACGTGTACCGTGTATTTTATCGGCTCGGCTTTCTGCTGTACTGTAAGTCTTGAAAACTTCAGAAGACATGGGTCACTCCAATATTTGGTATTCTCATCCACGAAAATATGGACAGGGATCCAGGTCGTGGTAAGTTTACATAAACTGTAATTTGTTATTGTTTACACCCTCACACTCAAGGCCCAAAGCCAATTCTTAACCACAAAGAGACCTAGGCTTGTGGACTGGTTCACTAGCTTCCGCCTAGTTGGCTTGATCAATTGTTTTATGTCCCTTGTAATCAATGGTAACCAGGCCTAGAGCTGAATTGAAACGTTCAGATCTCAATTAACTTACCTGTACTTTGAATGCCCATTTGTTAAATGCTAGACTTGGCTAGTCCCCCCTTCCACCATCTCGCATAAGGCTAGGCCAATTAGCCTTAGGTTGTTTGTTAATCGATTCTAATCTAGGGTGTAAAGTTTCTTAACTGGGCTATGCTAATATGGATTGAAACTAACGATTGGATTAGTAGCCTAAACCTTCATTCAATTTGTTTTATTATCAACAAGTTTGGTTAGTTAACTTAGGTTACCGGTAGGTCAGTGCCGGACTTACCACTAGGCCGATTAGGGACGCAAGCAAAAGAGGGCCGCAGAGGATTGAGAAAAACATTTATTTAGATAAACAAATAATTTATTTTAAACCACTAGTTTTCCGCGATCACAGGTGACCATTTAGGCTAATCATATCTCAGCGGACCTAGGGAGATGTTCACGATTTTGCCACAGCCGCGGGTGTCGGTGATAATGTCTCGGTGATTGCGGCCCGAAGGAGACGTTCACTATTTAGCCGTGGCCGCAGGTGACTGTGATATATATCCTCATGATCGAAGCCCTTGGAAGACGTTCAAGAATTAGCCACTGTCATGAGTGACGATGATGATGACCCCTTCATTGCGGCCTGCGGCAGATGTTCATGATTTTACTGAGGCCGCAAGTGTTGATGGTGACGTCCCCGTGATTGTGGCCCGCAGCAGATTTCGCTTAGGCTGGGGGTGTCAATGAGGATGTCTCCGTTTACGATTTTGCCATTTTCGCTAAGGCTGGGAGTGTCAATGAGGATGTCTCCGTGATGGCTATCCGAGGGGGTTGTTTACGATTTTGCCACGGTCGCGAGTGTCGATGATGTCCCCATGATTGCAGCCCGTGGGAGGTGTTCACGATTTTACTGCGGTCGCGGGTTACAATGATAACGTCCTCAAGAGGTCACGAATCACGGGATATGATCACGATTTTGCCGCGGTTGCGATTGTCGAGGATGATTTCCCTTTGTTGCAGCCTGCGGGGGATATTAAAGATTTTGCCGCGGTCACGGATGCCTATGATAGCTTTGACTTTGTTTAGGAGAGATGTCCACGATTTCATCCACGATCACGGGTGTCGATGATGATGTCCCCTTGATGCTTATGAGATATTCATGATTACTTCCGCGATCGCAAGGAATTGTCCCACAGGGGGAGGGCCGCTCAAGTAATTTGGCCTTGGGCCGCAAGTACCCTAAATCCTGCACTGGGTTATGGCATGATAATGTCGCTTTTTAACTGACTAGCTGTCCCCGCGGGCTTTGCCCCGTTTAACTTCATAAGTATTCGAATGGCTCAATCATGTCCTGGTTGAAGTTCGTTCGCTACGCTCACTCACCTTTAGGTTGGAGCTCGTTTGCTGCGCTCACTTGCCTTCAGGTTAGCTCGTTCGCTACGCTAACTTGCCTCCAGGTTGAAGTTTGTTCGTTACGCTCACTCACCTTTTGGTTTCAAATTAGCTGTTGTCATAAATTTAAAAAAATAATAGTGTTGCACCCTTTTGGTAATCCTTGTAACTTTTATGCTATTGAACATCATAGAACAGAACCAACTTGTTTAATTAAAACAGCTGTTAAAGATTCATTAATTCATTTTAAATATGAAAAATCATATGGTTAACATGAGAAACTCTAGAGCCACTGGGGCGGAGCCCAAAAGCCTGATCAGAATAAAAACTTAGTTTAATACTTAGTTTTCCTATTTAATGCCCAAAAATCGGTGTACCGAATTTCAGCCTCCTAAGTAGGTAAATGGGAAGTGGAAGATTTAAGCCGGGTTTACACGATGCCAGTTGGCGAGACAATTGTCTTTGCCAATTGGCATCACGTGGTTTTGGAATTGTCGTAGGCCAGGCAAGTTGAACGAGAACCTGTTCACACGTGGCCAACACTTGCCCAGACATTTTACAGTGAACCAGGGTACTACCGCCAAAAGACAAGACAGTGCTATTGGCCTCTACACCGTTTACACGGCGCCAATTGTCACGACAACTGGGTTTTCGAGGGGTGGGGGCCTCACTGGGCCCAGCTCATTGTCCTCAGTGATTGGAGACATTTGTCATCTGACGTTGTAATGCGATAATATTTCGTCTAGCTATTGAGAAGGAAATCACATATTGTGCATGTTAGGGTAGGCCTAGTGGGTTTCTAAATTTTGCATTGGTCAAGGTTCCTGCCGATATTCATAATTTTCCACTGGGGCTTTATTTTTGCGGTTGTTGACGTTCATCTTTGCATCTGTTGTAGCATGTTATACATTTAATGACATCGAATAGAATAACAATACTGAATGTACTGTGAAATTGTGGAAGGAACCTAACCTCAAAATTTTGCTTGTTCTCATGTTAGCGGTATGTTTGATAGAGTATCCGGGAAGGCGTAATTCACACCTGCTTTTTCCCTCCATTTGGCAATACTGAGGGCGGACTAGCAGTTTTGTTTAGTGCTACCCATTGGGTTTTATGTAAAAAAAACTACGTCCACAACGACTGGGACGCTAAAATCCATAGATAAAATCCATTGGTGACTTGGCGGGGATCGAACCCGGGACCTCAGGGACTGAAGTCCAGCGCTCTAACCACTACGCCAGCTCGCTCCCCGTGCCTCTCATATTGGATGAAACTAAAATTAAACATTTTAGCGCACTCATCCACACAGCGCATAGCTGCCTACGCTCCCGGCAGTGTTTTAACCCATTGGCGCCGACTTGTGAGCGTTACTCGTACGGCCGCTGCAGGCCTGTGAGCTGACTTACGAGAGCTTGTGTCACCGCTACGCAGCACCACTAGTTATTTTATCATTATTTTTACCGTACCGCTTTTTGTTTCTTCTTACTATTATGTTGTTATAAGTTATCTCGCTTCTTGTTTTGCGTATTTACTCATTTATTTTTACGAATAACAAACAAGATTGTATTACCATTGAAACCAGGTATCGCCTAAAATCAGCTGCGGTAGGGCCTAAGGTAAAAAAAAAACAATTCTTTGTTTATGTTAACTTATTACTTATAACCTTAACAACTTGTGATTTTTCTACGTAGGGAATCAGTTTTAATCTTAGTTATAATTTAATTTTTATTTTAGCCTTTGATTATCCAATTATAACTTTTCTGAGGACAATTTTACTGTGAACAAAATAGTGAAAGAATTATTAATTTATAACCTTAGAAGCTTTTCTTCTTATAAGGCTAGGATTATACTAAGACGTTGGCGTCTGGGACGCTCATTAAATAAAATGGGGGCGATTATACTAGGGATGCCAGCGTCGGACGCTAAAAAAGCCACCGGTCTCTCGATTTTGATGTCCCCAGAGGTCAAAAACACCATCCGTACATATAGATTTAAATATTATATATATGTCTATTAACGCGATAACTTGAGTAATTTTTGTCCGATTTTGATGAAATTTGGCTTATTGGCGAAGGGTGGGATAAACTTGAATGACTTCGCGAACCAGCAATGGGAACGGGGTTTTCGGGGTAAAAAAGGGGTTTTGTCATTTTTGACCCTTAAACCACCAAAATTCCCAATTTTCCTCTAGACAATTTTAATGAGCTTCAAAACAAATAATTTAGCATATTAAAGTGTTTTTGTACAGTTATTAGTTACGGAGAAAATTCAAAATAGTGTAAATTAAAAATTCCTATGTTATTCTTATAGAAAATATTTGTAACTGTTAGAATTCGCTTGTGAATGGGTAGGCTATATTTTGACCAAACCTGGCAAATTTGGTTTATACTAAGCTATTAATATTTTACTAAAAACACACTTTATTAGCCTCCTTAAAGCAGCAAACCTGGGTACTCGTTAGACCTAATGTTATTTAAATAGATATAACAAAAAGTGACAAAGCATTGAAATAAAATTGCAGTCCGAGAGGCTAGCATCCCAACACAAATCACAACATTTTCAGCTCGAAGAGGGACGCCAGCGTCCTAGTATAATCCTAGCCTAACAATTAGAGTAAAGTTTACAAATTCGATGACATCTTTTCTTCCACAGCCACAGCGCCTCCTGGCCACGGCATCAAGGGCCGGGGGCGGCCCTGACTATTTGTAAGATTTTGATCATAACAGTTAAAACTGTTATGATAATATTGTAGAAAATGTTAGTTACCTAGGCCTACTTAAGCTACGGGATGATTGTATTTTTTGCAGACTGCACGGGTACAATTCCAATCCCGCCAAGAACCTACAACGTAGCCTAGCCTATATTGGATAGGCCTAAAGTATTTGTTTGATATTTAAAATAGTATATAGTTTTTACCCAATAATAAATGACTTCTTACACACCCTACTTAGGTTAGGTTCTAAGTTTATTTCCTAGTTCAGTTTGGTTGTATTTTATCCTTTTTTCATAAGATAATTTTGTTTCAGCCGGGCTTGTGCTAACGGACATGGTCTAATCAGGAAATATGGTTTGGACCTTTGCAGACAGTGCTTCCGAGAATATGCTTCAGAAATTGGTTTCAAGAAGGTAATTCTAGGATTTAATATTACTATTAGGGTGTGATTTTCCTAGTCCTAAAACCATTGATATTAGGGTTCCCATATGTGGCTTTTAGATTAAATTTATGTTTTCCCCAGTGCCCTGTGTACAAATAAAAATTCTGGAAAAGTTATCAGCCATAAAAACTTTTGTTAGAAAACCACATCTAGTTTTCTTATCTATTTCTAAGCTTAGCTACTTCCATTTAGGTTGTATTGATGAGGCATGTCTTTTGCATACTAACTAAAATTACCTAAACTACACTTAAACTTCCAAGATTACACCTACCCTTATCATATCCCATACATGTGCAATCCAGATTCTATATAGTTTGTGGCTAAGCTCGTGTGGGGGGGCCCACCTTACAGGAGTACAGTATCCATATGCGTTTTTGAATCAGTATCCAAATACGTTATTGAATCAGTAAATATGTTTTTGAATCAGTATCCATATACGTTATTGAATCATTATCTAAATACCTTTTTGAATCAGTGTCCATACGTTATTGAATCAGTATCCATATACGTAGTTGACTGTTACATTGATACTGTTACTTTGACTATCAGTATCCATATAACTTATTGACATTATTCAAATGATTGACATTAATTATATAAGTTATTCACTGAGACATTGCTTAGCCATACAAGTTATTACCATCCAAGTACATGGCATACACTGAGACATTGCTTCGCCATACAAGAAGTTATGTATACCTTGTAGTTCTGATTCTATCCTCTTATTTTATCAATGTAAACCAATTGAAAGATTCAGTATTTAAATCTTACAAAGGTTTCTATATGTTTACACCCAAACATATCTTTATTTATAAAACCAATAAAATAAAATAGGCAACATGCTTAACAACATGATACTGCAAGTAAAAATTATGAAATAGGCAAGAAGCTCATTGATATTTCCATAAATACTGGTTCTTCTAATGTATGATTGAAAACAGATATTTCACTCCACTGACAAGTATGAATAGAAAAATTCCATTAAAATTCATTTCCATTCTAGCTCCTGAGCTGTTGTATTCATTATAATAAATAGGTTACATACCTTATAAATCCGACAAACAGCTCATTTTAATTGAAGGTCGTTTACATGTTTCGGCTTGTATCGGCCATTGTCAACTGCAACGTTTTGACAATGGCCGATACAAGCCGAAACATGTAAACGACCTTCAATTAAAATGAGCTGTTTGTCGGATTTATAAGGTATGTAACCTATTTATTATAAAAAATTCCATGTTGCTTCGAATCGAGTTACATCAAAATTTTTTAAAATCGAATCGTTGCTTTGAATTGAAATGTTTTGCTGCTTCACACACCCCTACATTTAATACGGGATTTTCTCGGCATGTGATTCGTTTCGATCGTCAGTGATTTCGCTGCATCGCGAGTGACAACATATGTTGATAAAGATACCGTGACCGCGAGACGGGAAAAGGTGTAGTAACATGGAGAATGGACCGAACTTTTGGTCGGTATTTAAATAAAAATGGTAATGAAAAGTCGGGAAAAAGTCGGGAATTCCATTTGAGAAATCTGGTAGACACCCTGATCCTGTTTTCGGGATAATAATCCCACGTATGGAAACACGGCTAGTACCGCGATGCGCGGAAGGATAGGCCTACATTCATCGTTTCAATTTCAATACGATACTGAATACAATTCCTCATTGAATTTCCTACCAATACTGATTCAACCTTTAATAAACTAAAAAAAAAACTGCACTTGTAGGAGTTTATAAAAAAAATTATATTCTGTTAGTTAAAACATTTAATGTTTTACACATTTAAATTAAACACATTTGTTTTAACATTTAAATGTTTGGTACTACTTTTTGTCTCCCCGGTACAAGCATGGTAGTTATTTTTCCAATATCACATGTTTCTTCCGATATAAGCCGATGATATCGCAAGCAAAATATCAATATATATCAGTATCAGAAGCACCGTATCGTCTATCTGCTAGTGTCAAGTCAAGGCCAAGTAGAACATAAAGTGTGAGGTTAAGTTAGTTGGTATACTCTTAATCTTCCAGATTCCAGATGTTAAATTCTTTTCTTATTGGTTTTATGAGTAAACTATTTAGGCCTAAATTTTTTCTAATAATTCTTGATTCTGATTATTCGATATCATCTTACGATATACCTGGAAAAAGTATAATATCAGTCTGAAAAACCTGAAAAAGACAGGGAATTTCATTTTCCAAAATCAGTACCAACCCTGGATTGGCAATTTCGACATTTGCGCTGTGTGTGGGCATCATTGGTAAGACCTAGCCGGAAATTCGAGAAAAATCGGCTGTGTTTACATCGGGTTTCGAGCATTCTAAACGGTGCAGCCAATTGAGACTGCCGCCGACTGTGAAGTGCACACTATAATTAGATTTTGAAGTGCTTAAGGTGTGAAAGCTATTGAATATCATCAACAGATTAGTGAAATGTATGGCGAGAACATTATGAGTGACGGAATGGCATATTACTTTTGCAACTAATTATAAGATTGGGAAAAATTAGATAAGTCAATAATAATGCATAAGCCTAATAATAACGCATAATAATGCTTTTTGCGTGAGGACGGGCGCTTTAGTCTTTTGTAACCTTAGGCTCTAGGACGGGTGCCGCCCTTCTTTAGGCGGGAATGGGATAAAGCATTTTACAGCCCTATATTATTTATACATTTTTATACATATTTATGTATAGAACCATTTCGGTTAACAGACCGAAAATAAATCTGAAAGGACACCATCGTTAACTGCATTCACTGCCTGTATTATTGTCCGTATTTATTTATTGCATGTTATTGTCTGAATTCTATTGAGCGTTTTTTATTGCCTGAGTTATTCTATTGCCTCTGTATTTATTGCCTGTTGTTCTATTGCTTCTGCATTTTTATTGTCTGTTATTTTTTGTATGTATTTATTGCCTGTTATTGCTTGCTGTATTATAGCTTGTACTATAGTCTATTAGTTATAACCTGTCATTATAGCCTTTCATTACCTGTTATTGCTTGCCGTATTTATATAGCTGGTATTTATAGCCTGTTATTTTTAGTCTTTCATTGCCTGTTATTGATTGTTTTTTTTTGTTGTTGTCTGCATTGCCTGTTATTATTGTCTGTTGTTTTCATTGAATATCATACTTACCCAAAGTTTTTTCAAGTTCAGTTTTGTTTGATATAATTGCATTAGTAATGTAGTGTCGTTGTTAATTATGCCATCTTGTAATTGATTATGCTAACTACTATTGTATAAATGGTGTTACCGTGAATAAATAAATAAATAAATAACAGGGGTTCTACTGTAACACAAAATATTATAACAGAAACTGTATGGATCATAAACAAATGGCGTAACATAATAAAGTGAATCCTATATCCTGGCCCGAATTCTATACTAATAACATTAAAATATGATTTGCACGGTGCCATTTATTTAAGTAATGTTGAATAATGCTTTCTTTCAGGTCAGTGTCATTACTGTCATTATTTGTTTATGTTGGTGATCCATATGTTATAATATTTGTGGTTCATATTAAACTATCACTGAACATTTCACATAAAATCCATAATATTGCCTTCCCTGTAGCAGCAAACCTAATTTGGCTACTTTTTAAACCTGATGTTAAATAAGGGATAAATTTGTCATGTTTAAGGAAATATTTGAGTAATAATCAAGATCAAGCAAATGGGAGTTCTTTTTACTGCAGGTTTTCTGTGGCAGTGGTATTTTTATGTTTATACTTGCAACAGTTTGGCCACTGTGTTGATTCTGGTTTTGCTCTTACCAGGATATGTGTTGGTTTTGTTCAAAACTAACTTATGTTAATTTGTTTCAGCTTGACTAAGAATTTTGGAATGGAAGAAGTTTGTAAACTGGATACACCATCAGCCAGAATCCATACCTTTTAAAGTGTAAATTAAAAACTTCTTTTTTTAATGTATTGTTTTTTATTACTTGCCCAGAAAAGTTGTTTTTATAACTTCTCAAGGTTGGTTTGTAAAAGTGGTTCATAACAAGGTTTAAATTATCAACATAACGCTAGTGTATAGCTAAATTGAAAATGTCCAACTATTTGCCCTGGACCTGGACAGCTTTGAAAAAGAAATTCAAATTAGATTAGACTATCTATCTATCTATCTATATATTAATAGGCAAGCATGTTTCTTTAAAACCTTTTTTCTCAGCTCGTGTGCATCGCAGGGAAAATCTACGCATACTGTTAGAAAGATATTTGCCTGTAGATGTGCAGAATCCCTTTATAAATTAAAATAGGCTAAAAAATAAGCACAAAAAACGAATTTGAAAACTTCAAAAAATTAACATGGACCAACTGGGTTGCCATGATGGTGACGAAATAACAACAAAATGTAAACAAAAAATCAAAACAATTGGAGGAAATCCCAATCACATGTTTTTATTTACAGTGTGGGGAGAAAATATAGTAGTCTGTACATTAATTATTTTTGGTCGAGTTTCGACCACAGGACGACCACTAGTCTATATATTAATAGGCAAGCATGTTTCTTTAAAACCTTTTTTCTCAGCTCGTGTTCATCGTAGGGAAAATCTACGCATACCGTTAGAAAACTATTTTCCTGTAGGAGTGCAGAATCCCTTTATAAATTTAAATAGGCTCAAAGATAAGCACAAAAAATGAGTTTAAAAATTTGAAAATATTAACATGGATCTTATGCGTTGCCATGCTGGTAACGAAATAACAACGAAATATAAACAGAAAACCAAAACAAATGGAAGAAACTCAAATCACATGTTTTATTTACAGTGTGGGGTGAAAATAGATAAGTGAGTACATTACGTATTTTTGGTCGAGTTTCGACCACTGGACGACCTCTCGTAAAATATAAATACATACACAACAGGGCACAATAAGATGCTAGGGTCTTGTTTTACTGCTGTTTGCGTGCTGGTAATGTGGCAAAAAGTATTGTACACGACACATTTGGAAGGGTGTTAAAAGCATAAATTCTCTGCCCTTGGCAAACCTCTCACAGGACCTATCATGCTTTCACTAAATTTCCCGGCCACATAGTGGAATATTCAGGGTTTTAATTTTCAATTATCTGCCTATAATCCAAATTACTTGCTTTACCCCTGACGCGCCACCGAATGCAAGGGTTTGCAAGATATCTGTTTTCACCTGCTACATTGAAGGAAGAATCAAAGTTAAGGTATCATATTAAAGAAGATGACATTTTCTATAGTTCTGCGTTTCATTATAGAAATTATTTTTAATACACACCTTATAAACTTGACTTGTAGGACAAGAAAAAAGGTCTTTTCAACTAGCCCTAACTTATAAAAAAACGTTATTTGAAAAATGCAGAACTATAGATTGGTCTTTGAACTACTATAGCCGTTTAGAATGCGTAGCTATCATTATTGGTTAATTCGAAAACAGGAATCTTGTAAACCTCTGCAAGCGCTTCTCGCGGCGCTGTTCAATGGTGCAACACAGCAACTGAAGCCCGAGCTGAGGTAGAGCGCACCCTTAAGTCATCTGGGAAGGTTGCGATGGGAAATTGACCATCAATATGATGGCATGTAGTGGCTCCCAGGGACATATTTAAGTATCTGCCGCCTCTACGAGACAAGGTTGCCCCCCCCCCCACAAAAACATTTTGCCGCCCCTAAAATTTGCCGTCAGTCCGCCTCTTCGGAAATATGTCCCTGGTGGCTCCTATGATCCTTGCGGGAACCCGACCCATCCTTACAGAGCACTGAGCTAGAGAAACTAATGTAGGTAGTACTGAATGAGTAGAGAATTGAGAGACAGCCAGTCAATGATACTACCTAAAGTTTTATCTCTAGCTCAGTATGTTACACAGGTTTCCTCAAGGATATTAGATAAGGAACAGGATGGCAAAAAAATTACATCATTTGCTTGAAAGTAAATGTACATGTATCATTATTTACTAGGTGAACCTGTGCGAATTCGCACGAATAATAAATTAGGATATTATAGCAACGTTGTTAGAAGTTGCGTCATTGTATCGACGTTGGTCTTGAGCTTGATCGTTGACTATATGCATTCCAAGTTCTTTTTGCTGTTCAGTAGGGGTGTTTTGCAGGACGGAGCTCATCATGTTGAAAACTTGCGCGTATGGATTAATATCAAGTTGATTCAGTGCTGCAAGAGCCATTAGCTTTGTTTAGCATTCTTTCTTGAACAGCGGTTGCGACGTCCGTAGGTATAAATTTGGGCATATGTGGAATGCTCCCCTTCTGACGGTTGAAAGGTGACAATTGGGTGATAAACTGTGTCTTGCACCTTATACATGAAAGGCCCTCCGCTGTTATGTTCTTCAATTTTAGCTTGAGTGCTAACCATTGCGAGCGCAGAGTTGTACGATCTAATGTTCTCTTTGTAGTTTCTGCTCAAATGATTTGCTCCATTAAGTAGGCTCTTAATAATAGATTTCTTGGTATGGTGGTAGATTCACTTTTCCTTTATGGCAGCAGGATGAAAATCCTTCGCCTCGTCCTCTTTGTTCTTTAAAATGTAGCAGACCACGTTTCTGACATTTTAATGCCATCTCGCCAAGTGAATGCTGCTGAATTCTTGTTCTTGTCGGTGTAATTTTGTAAATACACGTTGCCAATAACTGTTCCAGCTCTTCGTCTGGGCTCCTACGTTTTGCATTGCTTGGCGTATGTTGACTCGCCGTGTCCGACCGGCAATATTTCTTTGTCGTTGGGTCCTTGGCATGTTTAAACGAAAATATAATGTAAAACTTTTCTCCCGTCGTGTCCTATAGGTAACATTTCTTTGCCGGGTTTCTAATTATTTTTAAAAACATGCAAACTGTTAACATTTCAAAACCAAACAAAACAGCTGGGATTTAACTTTTTTTAAACTAATGTATTGACATCTGTTTCAGAATATAATAACATTCAAATCAATCACAATGTTATCCTTATGGAAGGAACTTTGAGGGCAGCCCACACCCTTCAAAAATCTAAAGCCAGTTTGCACATCTACACACCTAGACAAACATTTTGGTATATAATATGTGGGGTTAAATCTTAAAATAAAAAAGCCTTATTGTTCACAAAGTTTCATGTCGGGTATTAAATATACTGATAGATTAGAACGTTCAAAAAACTTCCAAAACAGATGTTACTAGAACTGTAAACGATTTGGACCAGTGATATCAGTTATGATCCATACCGTTTTCGTTTTAATATCACTGCATTTTCTTAAATACTATTGGATTTGTTGATAAAGTCAGTGCTGATATGGAGTGATAATAAATTACAATTTATTTACAACACTTATTAACATATGTACATCAATGTGATTTTCAAGATGATGTTGCTTCATCCAAACCAGTCTAGTCTTCTTTGTCTCTGCAATAAAAAACATAATCTCTTACACTTGTGTACTGTTTTAAAAAGAAAAAAAATCACAGATAAGCAACCATTATGACAAATGATATAACTAATTGTATTTTTCATTTTAGGCCATATTTACTTACTATATCTGATAGTTTTGGTTGATCAAGAAAATAATGGCATAAAAACAGTTAATTTGAGATTTTGACTACAGTATCACATTCATTTACAAAGTTATCAGTTTTTTTTTTTTATTTCAAATTTAACTCTTCCACAAATGTGATGTGGGAAGCGAAAAGGGAGCTCTTGTCGGCAATGCAAAATTGTCAGTACGGCTGATACAAGTAATTAAGGTCTAAAATATCGAAATTCAGGTTTTTATCGATTGTTAGATCTCATTTAACAAAGAACAGGACAGTATTGGTTAAAATATCGAATTGAAGATGTAAAAGGTCAAAATAAATTATTTTGTTAGCCTCTGCACGGTCTGAGAACAGGTACGTCTTGTTGCTCAATGTTATTTCGCGGTAACGACAAGAGGTCCCATTTCTAATATTCACTTTACAAACAGATTTTAGTCCAAAAAATGAATTGTACTGCATTCTAGTGGAACACCAAAGTTCAGTTGACGGGGAACAAAATATCTCACAAATTTTGAGGTCTCGACAAGAGGTACATTTTTAATCTTTATGGAGAAATAGAACCGACAAGAGGTCCCTTTTCTGAAATTTTTTATAACATGCTTCGATAAAACAATTATTCAAAAGAAAACTTCTGTCAGTTAAGGCAAAAATTGGTATTGTCTCCAAAGAGGACATTATAAGCTTTCTTTTAATTGATACCAAAATTGTTTCGTAAATACGAAAAAAAACTTTTTATGCATACAGTATTTGAACTTTTCGAAATAGTTTTTTTCAAAATTACCCTCTTCCATAACACAATTTCAAAGTCTTATAACTCTAACAAAAAAAATCTTGGATGCATGGCACTTGCATCGGGTGATTCGGAATTCAAATACAGTATATATATTATATATAACTCAAAATCGAAAATTTCCAACAAGAGGTCCCTAATCGCTTTCCACATCACAATTTTTAAGTAAATTTGATATGATTTCAAAAACTGTACAGCAACCAAACATTGAACGAAATGGGAAAATGCTGCACCAGCTCCAACTGATCGTAGCTGTAATATCTTTAAGTGTTGCCAACTTATTTTAAAGCGGTCACGGATTACATAAATAATAAAAGTAGATGCTGTTTTGTGTTGTTTGGTTGGAATACTGTTGTGTGCCAAAGTAAAAACTGGACGCCAAAGAATGTATGTATGTATGTAAGTAACTCTCTGTACCTATGTACTATAATCTGTACAAGGAAGTCCACTTTATCGGGTGACTGTAGGAAAAAGTTGTTGTGTCTTTATAAGCGCTAAAGAATGTAAGGAGATCGCAATAATATTTTATAGTCTGTACTACTGTACTTCTGTTCCTGGTATACAGTACCTGCCCTAGAGTGGAGAGCAGAGCTAATATTGACTTTTTTGGTGGTCTACAAACTCTGCGATCTTGCTCCTGACAGCAGAGGTTGGGGAAGCAGTCAAGTGTAGACCGACACTGTTTGGGGAACAAGTCGTAGATTGCTGGAGGAGGCGGAGTACACTGCATGTACGCAAGCATGTTGCGCATTGCTGCAACAAATAAATACAAGGATTGTTCGTAACTTATAAGGTTTCCAACCAACTCCAATGTGGCCAAGGATAAACATGGCTCTATGTCTATACCACCAACCTAACACATGTTCAAACGGAATAGAACTAAAATTAGTTAATGTACGGTACAAATTAGAATATAAATATGACACAAAATATACTTGACAAAAGCCCAGTTAAAATATGCATTATAGGATTCATTTATCTTAACCAAGATGGATGTCTTGAATTATAAACTTTTAATTATAACAAATGAATAGTAATTTTGAAGTTTAGCTTGTATATTTTTGTAAAATAAAAAAAACAAGATTTTTCATTTATAAAATATGATATGCGTACTGATTGGGCGGAGCGAGCAAAGCTCTTATGCATTTCGTAATACGCGCCATTTAAATTGCTCAAGATTAGCTTAAATCTCATGCATAATTTGTTTTTAGTAACTACAGTAGAGTGCCGATTATTTGAATTACTACAAACAATTATTGTAATAATAAGATAATACAGTAGACTCCCTATTATCCGGACTCCTCGGGACCGAGGCCAGTCCAGATAACGGGTTTTCCGGGTTAAAACAGACCGTTTAAAGGCATATACTGCATGAAGTAGTTGACTAAAATTTAGGAGAGCATTAGATTTAGACATGTGAACATTCTGGTCTCAAATCTTTCCCACGAGAACAGTCGTTTCAGTACCGCCCACTTCCTGTCAATCTAGTCCGGTTAAACCGATGTGCTGAAAAAAATTTTCCGGTTAAAGAGATGTCATTTCCGCCGAGTGTAGTCTGGTTAAACCGATGTCCGGTTAAAAGGTGTCCGGATAAGAGAGAGTCTACTGTACGAATCACTATAAAACATTAACATAAGGGTTGGACGATTTTTGACAGTAATTTGAATAATAATACAAACATGTGTGCCTTTAGCGAATGGTGAGGTACCTATTACCGTAGTTGGCACGGTAACACCTAGTAATTGGTAATAATCGGCCCGGGACCGATTAACTTTTTCATTTTGATGTCGCCAGAGGCCAAAAACACAAATCGATCAAATTTTCATATACGGTACGTGTTTATATACATATATATATATATATAGCTATATAGATTTATATATATATAATCAATATTTTTTTATAATCTGATCTTTTATGTCCGTGAACGTGTTAATGTACCTGTGTTATGTATAGCGATCAACTAGAGTAATTTTTGTCCCATTTTGATGAAATTTGGTTTAAAGGTGTAAAGCGGGATAAACTTGAATGAGTTTGAGAACCTGCATGATTGGACCATGGGAACAGGGTTTTATGGGGTAAAAATTGTTTTTTTTCCATTTTTGACCCACAAAACACAAACTTTCCCAATTTCTCTATAGACCTTTTTAAGAGCTTAACAAAAATAGTATATCAAAGTGTACTCATTGAGTGTATGGGAGTTATTGGTAATGGAGAAAATTCCAAAAATTGTAAATTTAACATTCTTATGTTATTCATATAGAGAATATTGTAAAATGTTGTAGTTTGCTTATTTATGGATATATTTGGACCAAACTTGACAAATTTATTTATTTTATACTAAGCTATTAATATTTTATTAAAACACACTATTAGTTTCAGTTTCCTTGTAGCAGCAAACCTAGGCAGGCTACTCGTTAAACCTAAATGTTATTTAAATAGATTTAATTAAAAATCATTCAGAGAAATGGAAATTCCCTTAGTCTGTAGGTTTGCTGCGGCGGGGGTATTTATGATAAATACAGTTTCTGTTCTAATATTTGTGCTGTTAATAATCTTAATGTACTAATTAAAATTAAGTATATGTGATCAATTCTCGGTTTCAGTTTGAACATGATTAAATATTTATCACCTACAGAACAAGTTGATTATTAGGTGTATTTGTACGAGTGTTTTATTAGTTTCACCAGCAAACCAAACATTGTTATGGCTGTAGACAAAAAAGTCAGTGGTTTTAAATGAAATTGTAAATACGCAAACGGAATCAACCCATGGTGACAGCAGTGTTCTCATATTAGCAACAATTGGTTGTGCTCCTTCTAATGTTAATGGCCAAAAAATAATTGAATTTACAAAATGTTGATGAACTACAAAGGGGGTACAACAGCAATGGTGCTGTTGGCACCGTCCACGATGTTATATACGAAGGTGAAGAAATCTTCACATTTTTGGAAATGCAGCATTTATGATTATTAGTTAATTTAGTAATTATTATAGATGACCCAACACTATGCAATAAGGAGGTACCGCGGGATTGTCCCTTTTGAAACTAAATTTGTAAACGTTGCATTAAGCGTACCCGAAAACAATTTCCATTGGCACCTGACCTATTCTCTCACAATTCACAAATTCCAATGCAAGAACCAAGCAGTTGTTAATATATTGAAACAAAGGTTTCTTTGATGTAGTCCTATTCTTTTAAAATCACTTGACTTTTAAGGAAACAGAGAAATGGCCTTGAAGTGTCGGTTTTATTTCGCCTTAGATGGTTTTCCTCTGCAATGATCACAAAGTTGATCCATGTTTATTCCTTCAAAAAATGGTCACCCTTCTCCTTCTGCTAATATTCTCGTTCACCATTTGTAGGAACCAATGTTGTGTTCTTCATTACGCAGGAGCGCAGTTGTACATGGCTTGCCAACAGATACTCAAACCCAGTTGAAAGCTGCTTGTTCTTTGGGCAGTGAGTCAAACTTTAGGGCAGTTGCACAGGCTAATGCAAAATTTTTCAAAGTTGGTTTTTAAACAGTGGCCAAAAAAAATCTTTGTATGACAAGGAAGACCACGTAGCACGTTTATGTCCCCATCAAAATCGTGAATCAAAAGTATAAACTGTTACAGTAAGCGCACTGTTACAGTCTGGGCGCGCGGTTCCGTCTCTACTACCCGTCCTGTGTATATTTCACCGACCCCCCACCACCACGTCTAGCCATAAAGACAGCTGAACAACCCCAGAGCTGTGTGGGCCAGATATTTTGGAAATGAGCAATAAACACTCCCCCCTACACCCCGGGCCATGGCACAGCCACGCGCCCAGACTAAATGCGATTACCGGTACTGTACCAGTGCGGGGAGGTAGGACATTATGCCACAAAAACAATTTCCAAAAATGAGTGAATGGAGCTGCCTTATGTTGCGCGGTAGGCCCAATTTCTTCAGCGCAATTCCCTACATTGATGATAAGTGTGTCGGGTTTAAAAAGTTGTGCCTTGCTGGTCTCAGGTTGTTCAAGGAGCATGTGTAATCTATTTTAGTGAAATATGGAGTAGAATTGAAGCCAGTCAGTCAAAGGATTATACCTAATGATGAATGAGGAATCAGTTGAGTGTAACATGGTATGTACGTTACAAGTTTTCATAATGGTGTTCCGCTCACACTGAGTTGTTTGGTTGCCAGTGTATTGCCAAGGTATGAGATGCTTCTAGGGATGGATGCAGTGACTGCAATGGATGGGGTCACGATTGATGGAGATGGCATTGTTACGTTCAGGGACGTGGGTATCAGAGGGATGGCTGAGGCCAAGGAGGAGTTGTGTGTGAAGGAAAACTCTGAGAATGGCAACGATGGGACCTCTATTAATGAATGTGACTCGGACTAATTGAGTTTGTGGTCCGAGTCTATTTTGCATTTGGCGACGGATGCCGAGTGAGACTAAAGAACAGAGTTAAATTCTTACTTGGATTGTTTTCAGAACGAGGTCCACCCCAAGAACTATTAATAGACAATAGCGCAACGTTCAGATGTGAACAAATTGAACAAATGTGTGAGGGGGGTTATCCGTCTTTTTAGGTGTGTGAACCGTTCGACCGGTAATGGAATCATTGAAAGAAACCATAGAACAATAAAGAGAATGACAACAAGAACTAGAAGATGTGATTAAGAAATGGTTTATTGGTATAAACTAACACCAAAAGACCAAACTCTAAATTGTTCTGGTACAGGTGGAGGTGTACAGGCAAACCTGTAAATTGTGAGGAGCAACTAAGAACTGAGTTTTCACATGATGAACCTGTGTTTGTCAAGCCAAAAACTCTCTCTTTACTACAAGATGGAAGCCTGGTTTGGTCTCACGGCAGCTCTCACAAACCAGTGTAGAGGTTGATGGTATGCCACACCATATCGCTGATGTCCGTCATGCTGGTGTTGACACCACAGGTTCGTGTGCTTGTAATATAAATTAGTTATCAGCTGTTTGCTATTGTGGATATTTTTATGTGTTTATCTTTGGATGATTTTTATCGATTCTTGTTGTCATAGAAAAAATAATATTTATTTGTTGAGTTTTTATTGTTCTGATGAGAAGCAGTGGATGTTATACCTTGTTAAAGCATTAAAAACTCTTTTATTATTTGTTTTCAATTTGCATGTTAAATTAATTACAGTACAGCAGAGTCCCGCAAACTCGGCACTCGATAACCCGGCAGTCTGGATAACTCGGCCATCACCTGGCTCAGAAAATTAGTGATTTTTTGAGTCCAAGTTAAACATGGACTCAAGCCAGCTCAAGTCAAATCATTCTCAGCTCATACAAATGATTTTTTGTACTATATCTGATGACTTGATACTTACTTGTAATATAAATATGAATAAAAGAGGTACTTAATAAGCTTAAAAATGGCATTGTTCTTGTTTTTAACGCTAGTTCCCGATAACCCGGCATTTCACAAACTCGGCATCCTTCCAGTCCACATTACGCCCAGTTTGCGGGACTCTACTGTATATAAAATTTTTGTTTGCTTTTAAGATAAGAAAAACTTTTAGATATAGACATGTGAATCCTTGTGGATCATTCTTTAAGTTATTTTGACATGTGTTGAGAAATTAACACCAAATGTAAAAGCCTATTTCAATCTGCTATGGGTGTAATTTCCTACTCATGGCAACTTCCTTCTTTACCAGACAACAGTAGATAACCTGACTAACGTGTAACTATTCTCAGTGGAAGTCTAAGCCGATCCCACACGGGCGCAGGTGTGCGACAGAAGCTTCTGTCCCCAGCAGTATCCGGACAACACAGTCTCGGCCAGCAGTCTCTGTCTTCTGAACAGTTGCGGATAGGTAGAGGCTCTGGCACCGGGTGTCGTGGACACTGACGAGGAATCAGGCCTAGGAATGCTGTGGAACATATACGAGATATTAGCTCTGTCTTCTGAACAGTTGCGGATAGGTAGATGCTCTGGCACCGGGTGTCGTGGACACTGACGAGGAATCAGGCCTAGGAATGCTGTGGAACATATACGAGATATTAGCTCTGTCTTCTGAACAGTTGCGGATAGGTAGATGCTCTGGCACCAGGTGTTGTGGACACTGACGAGGAATCAGGCCTAGGAATGCTGTGGAACATATACGAGATATTAGCTCGTCTTCTGAACAGTTGCGGATAGGTAGATGCTCTGGCACCGGGTGTTGTGGACACTGACGAGGAATCAGGCCTAGGAATGCTGTGGAACATATACGAGATATTAGCTCTGTCTTCTGAACAGTAGTTGCGGATAGGTAGATGCTCTGGCACCGGGTGTTGTGGACACTGACGAGGAATCAGGCCTAGGAATGCCGTGGAACATATACGAGATATTAGCTCTGTCTTCTGAACAGTTGTGGATAGGTAGATGCTCTGGCACCGGGTGTTGTGGACACTGACGAGGAATCAGGCCTAGGATTGTTGTGGAACATACAATATCAGCTAGTCTGTGTATATATTGGCATTCCTGTTTTGTATGATTTAATTTTTAGCCTGAACAATTATCTTTGATTTAATATGATTTTTTTATTTTTGTTGAACAGAAAACAAAATAAACTACTCTTCTACAATTAAGAAAAATACACACAATTTTACATATTTTCATAAATATTATATATTTCTTAGTAATCAGAAATCCTTGTATTCTTAGAAAAACAAAATTTAAAAATTGACTGAGCTTCTCAATGTTTTTATAAAGCTTGATGTATTCAAAATAAATCTGTGTAATTTACGTAAAGTCAATATTACAGTATATGTAAAGATAAGTTAATAAAACAAATAAAGAGTTGAAATAACAAACAGAAACCTCAAAAGTTCTGTATGACTTCAATATGCCAAAAATTAAGATGGCTCTTGCGATTTATGAGTAACTGTCTACAATGCTATCAAAACAGGTAAATTAAAAGCCCAAGCGTAGTTGGTAGTAGATCTAAACTTTACTTTCAGGTTTCATGATAGGTTAGGCATAGCTTTTGTACCATGTTACCATACTTTGATACTTCTATCATAATAAATTAACATAATCTAATATATATCGTACTATCAGCTATGTTTATGTTGGCAATATGCAAAATCAAGTGATGTTTTAAATAAAAGGAGCTCTTAGCTACTTCCATAGCATCATATCATGCCACCTTTGCCAATACAGCCTAAATACTGTCTCCTCACATCAGTCCAAACCAGGTAAACACCCATGTACCCACACAGCCCTCTGAGCAGTTAAAATGTAACTCGTGTTATTATTCACATGAACCTACCCCTAACTCTCAGGAATGGTTCAGCTTTCAATAGTTTTTGTCTCCGTATACTTGATTAAATAGTTGAATAAAAAGTTCAGTTAGTTAGACTTATGTCTCATATATACTGTCTTGGACTTTGATGTGAGGATCATAGCTACCAAAGATAAGGCAGAAGAATTCTTACGTGTATGTTCCTCTTCAGTTACAACTTTGTGTTTGGTTCTGGTGCAGACCTTGTGCCCCGCTGGTCCGCAGCAGCGACTGCCGAGTGCCTCACACTCCCCGTGACTCTTGCAGGCAATGCCGTCCTCCTCCTCTGTCACTGGGCACTCCTCGTCCTCCTCCCCATACACTGTGAAAACATCACACTACATTACTTATGTAGCCTGCTCCATGCAATTCTGGTACACCCACCTGACCGTTCAGGTAGTAAAGAATTTTGTGATTTTCGAAACTGGTAAAAAACATTATATTGTTTGCTTTATTTCTGTAACCTACCCAAATTGTTATAGATAAGCTGAACCACAGAGAAGTAAGGTATGGAGGAAATATTCAATGATACACTAGGTGTGTAGCACCAGAGCTGGTGTCTAATGGCAAAGACCAACATCGCCCTCCCTCATCCTCTTGTTCAACGACGGTCTTCTTGGTGGTGGAAGACCCTGTTTCCTGTACGATAAGAATTTCAGCAAAGTCCTCGCGGTTCCTTGCCCGTCACAATTATATTTCCAGCACAACATACCAGGGCAGAAAGTGCACTGTCGTCCCATAAGCTAGCATGTTACCTCCCAAATACATCACAAGTATGAAACCTGTATACACAGTAATGAGCAATGACTTGGTTCCATTTGGTGGTTCAAGTGTTGTATATAAAGTGCCCTCAGTTGCACAGCCGCTAGTGCCTTACCCGATTTCAAGTACATCACGATTCTCAGCTAAAACCATTAGAGACATATGTCTCATGACTGATGCTGGTCACACCTTACTTTCTTTTGTGTTGTGGTCAGACAGATAACAAGCTGCCATAACTTTCTACAACTAGCTTGGTGATTATCATATGAATGCTACATAGCAATATGGTTAGTTGGCCTACTGTACTGTTTATTTAATATATTTTAAGAAACTCAAAAATATGACATTATAGTAGACTAGGTGGCGTTCGCAGAGGCATCCACAAAATTGAGCGGAGTCATCAAGGGTTCATATTATATTGTTTTTGTCATACTTTTTAATGCATGCGTTGCGGGTCTAAAGTAGCATTTTTAATATTTAGGGAGTAAAAATCGTTTTTAGCCTCTATGGAGTAAAAATCAGCTGTTGTCTACACAGTTGTAAATTTTGATTGTAAACGATTGCATGTATCGAAAATATGTATCGATTCGTGCTTCGTAATCATTTTAACATACAGTCTACAGTCTCTTCCCGTAGCATTTAAGCATTGCCGATACATTAATCCATTCCCAAACTCAACACTGCTCACCTTTACTACTTCCTTCACCACACCCTACGTCATGGACCTGTGTTTCCCTCTCTTCTCATAGCATTTTAGGATTGCACACACATTAATGTAATTGCCAAAGAAAGTTACCACACTCTGCACTGCTAGCCTTACTACTTCCTTCACCATTTACTACGTCATAGACCTGTTTCCTTCCTAGCTCATAGCATTTAAGTATTACAGATTCATTTATCTAACTGCCCAAACGGTTCCCCCACTCTACACTGCCAGCCTTTACTACTTCCTTCACCACTTCCTACGTCGTGGGGCCTGTTTCCTTCCCTTCTCATAGCATTTCAGTATTGAAGATACATTAATCTAACTGCCGAAGACGGATGTCACACTATGCTGATGCTCATACTTTACTAATTCCTAAGCCACTTCCTACGTTTAGGACCTGTATTCATCACTTTCCATGGCATTTTAGTATTTTAGATACGTTTAATCTAATTGCCACAAACATTCCCACACTCCGTACTGCTATAGCCTTTACTACTTCTTTCGCCATTTCCTATGTCGTGGGCATGCTTCCATCCCTTCTCACAGCATTTCAGAATTGCAGATACATTAAAACTGCTACAAACGGTTTCCAGTTCCCACACACCACACTGCTCACCTTACTACTTCTTGCACCACTTCCTACATCGCGGACCTGTTTCCCTCCCTTTCCGTAGCATTTTAGGATTGCAGATTGCAGACGCACCTTATTCTAATCGTCATAAACAGTTCCCACACTCCGGACAGCTCGCCTTTACTACTTCCTTCACCACTTCCTACGTCGCGGACCTGTTTTCCTCCCTTCCCATAGCATTTTAGGATTGCAGATACCTTAATCTAATCGTCACAAACAGCTCCCACAGTCCGGACTGCTTGCCTTTACTACTTCCTTCCTACGTCACAGACCTGTTTCCCTCTCTTCCAATAGCATCATAGGATTGCAAATACCTTAATCTAATGGTCACAAACAGATCCCACACCCCGAAAAGCTCGCCTTTACTATTTCCTTCACCACTTCCTACCTCGCGGATCTGTTTCCTTCCCTTCCAATAGCATTTTTGGATTGCAGATACCTTAATCTAATCGTCATAAACAGTTCCCGCACTCCGGACAGCTCGCCTTGACTACTTCCTTCACCACTTCCTACGTCACGGACCTTTTTCCCTCCCTTCCCATAGCATTTTAGGATTGCAGATACCAGTATCTAATGGTCACAAACAGCTCCCACAATCCGGACTGCTTGTCTTTACTACTTCCTTCACCACTTCCTACGTCACGGACCTGTTTCTCTCTCTTCCAATAGCATCATAGGATTGCAAATACCTTAATCTAATGGTCACAAACAGATCCTACAGTCACAACAGTCAGAACAGCTCACCTTTACTACATCCTTCACCACTTCCTACGTCGCGGACCTGTTTCATACCCTTCCAATAGCATTTTAGGATTGCAGATACCTTAATCTAATCGTCATAAATAGTTCCCACACTCCGGACAGCTCGCCTTGACTACTTCCTTCACCACTTCCTACGTCGCGGACCTGTTTTCCTCCCTTCTCAGAGAATTTTAGGAATTTAGATAGGGTACCTTAATCTAATATGTCATAAACAGTTTCCACACTCCAGACTGCTCGCCTTTACTACTTCCTTCACCACTTCCTACGTCGCGGACCTGTTTTCCTCCCTTCCCATAAAATTTTAGGAATGCAGATACCTTAATATAATCGTCATAAACAGTTTGTCATTTGATAAACAATAATGCTATCACCTATTTCTTTATCTACTGCATTCAAAAGTCAACAGCTGATCATATGTCTTTGTTTATGTGTCAAATACTGCTTCCATAAGGATTACATTGAAACTTTGAGACCCAGTGGGGCGGATTCCTGAGAGACTTTTTTAACGCCATATAGATGTTGGCACTCCCCGATATGGTCTTTATCATCATGCAAAATTTGAAAACAATTGATTCAGCCGTCTAGGAAGAGTTTGCGTATTTTGAAATTCATAAGAGTCTACGTATAAGAGCTTCGCTCGCTCTGCTCAAAAAAGTATGAGTTCAAAAAGTTGTTTTAACTACCACCGGTACTAATCAACTAAAATCTTTGTAAAAAGATGTTTTATTGGTCAGTAATAGAGAATGGCTATCCTATGATTGGTTTAATTCTAAAACCACTTGTGAGTTTTCTTCTCCCCACACATGTGTGTTATGGAAGTTGTTGATTTCATTGTAAATGAAACCTTGTCTGTAAATAAAATATTACTAATGAAGAAACAATTTCCATAGCTTGCTCATTGCTCAACCTTCTACACATTGTTGCTTCTTACCTCAAAATCACGTGGCAAAAGAACCTGAGCTTGCTGCATATGGAAGAGGTACAAGAGTTGATCATGTAATACTTGCCATAAAGTATGACAACAAATGCCATGTTGCAGAGCAATTCTTCTGGTGAGCTTTGGATTTTCATGGAAAGCTTCTAAAACCATTTCTTTACTTCAGGAGACTACACAGACATGAAGCGTCCATTCGGATGAGCAAGTGGTCCAAAACTACCAGTCTCTCATAGAAATTGTTGATGGACTTTGTAAAACCTTTTTGTCAGAATCCTTTCTGTCTGGATAAGTTTCAGCATATAATTTACTTAATTAACTGTAGCACTGATCCATTATCTCGACCATACATGAAATGCATTTCAGCTATTCCACAGAGGAGGCTATGCTATAAGTAACAGCGATTTTCTTACGATATAAAATACGTGGAAATAGAATAAATATGAAAGTTATAACTAAATATCACTGTGTAAGCGAATAATAATGCCAAAAATGTGGTTAGTGGTTGTTGATATTTACAACAATGGACAGCTACTATCCCAGCTGTTAATAGACTTACAAAATCTATGACTCATGGTTTATAAATTCTAGGTAAAATTCAGTTATTCTTTGTACAAACTTACTTTGGCTAAACTGTAGCTTGATAAGATATCGAAGTCTCCACAAAATTCACTAAATGTTTGTATCTTTAGATTTGATGGTAAAATTTAAGGTTTTGTGAAATTTGGCATTAATATTTGTTTAAAAAGCTAATATTTTGAAACGGATTGTAAATTTTTATTCTTTTTGCACAAAGATAAAGGCCAATAATGAGAACTTTTTTGCAGAATTGCAATGCTGTCACTCAAACCATTTAGTAACTATGAATGTTTTGTAAAAAACACACACATACCGACAAACAGACTGATAGAACATTTTGCATGTTAATTTGACCCAAGGAATCGCAACTTATTAAATTATGTACCCACCTCTTTTGATAACTCTGTATACAATTTTGTTCAAACGCTTTTGTAAGCTAAAGTTATAAATTTGAAATTATGGCGTAATAACTTGGAATTTGATGATTCTAACAGAACGTGTTTAGTAAACTGGAGTCCACAGAGTATCTGTGAATAGAGTAATATATAATTCTCCTATACTCTCGAAATTCGGAGCGACTTTTGTTTACCTATTGCCATTGACCATTGGATACTTAAGTTGTAAAGTCAAAGCTATTACCGGTACTGTACAGTACTGTATTTACAAGTCTGTGGTCACGTGACCGAGGTCTGCACCAGTCACGTGCTCAGTCTCATACTGATGACAGCACATCTTGAAATGTTAGGAACCACGGTCGCTGCTCGCCGCTAATGTTGCGGTTGTTGCGACATCAAGGCCAGCTAGTCGTGTGCCGATACTTTAAACTACGAGCTCACATAGGGAAAGAGGCGATCTTTACTGTTTACGCACACTGTGTTTTGTTTTTAACTATGTTGAATTGGGAATTGGAGAAAATAAGGGCTGTGTAAAAGTTGCTCAACAATACTG